AGGCCAGTTATCAAAAAAACCAAATCCCTGCTCACTACAGTAACGAGCCAGCCAGCAGATCAGTGAAGTAAACCTACTGTACCGTAAATCTTATCATCACCTGTCACGGACAAGGGACCACAGAGAATTCCTCAATGCCGACTCATCTTTCTGGAGAACTCAAACGTCCTGGCTAGGCATTCTTATTTGATCTCCGACTGCTTCTTCCCAGAAGCATCTAAGATTGTGGGTATTGGAGTCGCGGGTGTAGTGGGGCCACGTGGCAAATCTGCGTCCTGCAAGACCCACTTGAAGTTTCAAGTTACGCCCCCTTCTTTCTTAAAGGTGTATGACCTCTGAAGGCATGAAACCATGGTGGAATTAGCTAGCTTGTTGGCTAATTAGCCAGCCGCAACTTCAAGTTATGCCCCCTTTACATTTCACCCCTCACTTGCAATCTGCAGACAGACCCCACGTAGGCCAACAGGACAGCCTACGAAAAGTGGTTAGCTTCCCACGTCACTGAACATGGATAAACTTCATCCTCTGCCCACAAGGTTGTGCTACTGCTATCACTAACAGGCCTGCTATCAAGCAGCGTCATGGCGACTAAATAGTGTTCGTCCACTCTGTGAGGCAAGACTCATTAATAAAGGTGTTCATCCCAATGTGCACCCCTCTCTTTTGTGAGTATAAATAGGCATTCCTTTTAGACCATAAATGTGAAATAACACCACATAACATATCAACAAACGACGTGGTTTGTTTGCAAATCTGAGGTTAACCTTTCTGTAAGTTTAAAAAAATAGAGGAAACGCAAATTAGACTGCGCGAAATTGCAACAAAAGCTGGTAAATGAATACTCCCAGATACAACAATCAAGATACAGCATTCAGAAAGCCATTTAAACTACTGCAAAGTAAAGCAGAAGAAGTTGTCTCTCTTCTACAAGTGTATAGACTCCAATAGGAAAAATAATGACAAGTCCTCTTAACCCAGAACTGCCATACACTGAACCACCATGTTTAAATTCATTGATTGCTTGTAGAATAGATGTAAAATAGAAGGGCTGTGGCTTGAAATCCACCCAGTAAAACACGGATGATGCGCTATTGATTTGGGCCTCCGGTTGTTCTTCTGTGATCTCTTAAAACTGAGAAGTGTATGTCTGGCAGGTGTGTTGAATTTGACTCAGGCCCTGCAGCTCACTTTGAGATAGCTAAGAAAATGCTCCAGTTCAACTATAGATAGATCTGATAGAATCTGATAAAGGGCACGGCTAGAGAGAAGAACCGCATGCAAGCTCCTGGTTGCATCTGCTCCGCTTTGTATGAGCTTCAGTGATTTTAATCTATCAAGATATAAGCGGTATTTACCAAAGCTTGATAATGGGGACCCTGTTTCCCTTTGTCCTCTGGGACCAAATCGCTTTGGTTGCTTGTGTGTAACTGAACCTCTTATCGATCACAAAATCTTGGCGTTCTCTGCAAATAATGTTTGTGCAGTCTTGAGACTTGATTGAAAATGATTAAATGTAAATATTTATTTTAGCTTGTATATGTAGGTAAATGGCGGTTAGAGTGCTATTGCTGTTGAGGTGAGTGTTTCGTAAACTTTTAACTCATTGAATTCATAGCGTGTATTGTCTTAATGTATTTTGATCCACCATGAAAACTTCCCCGCAGGGATAAATACAGTTCATTGGATTGGAATGTAATTGAATTAAAATGTCCCTGCAATGGCAAGAGTGAACCTTCAATGAGTCAAAGCCTCCTAATTTGACACACAGCACGGACAAATCTATATTAAATTCTTTTAAATGTGACGGAGCTGGTGTGCTGTAAGGAGACAATACTGCTCATTTCTGAATCTTGGCAAGCTTTGTTTAAGGGTTTGTTGTAAACGTCGTAATAATCCTAGTATTATATCTATATGTCAGATTCTTGGAAGAACTTACCATCTCACAAGTTTCTTCATTATAGCCTCAATTTTACACTTACGTCTTTGCTTCTGCCACTGGCTTGTTTTTTTTACTTCTGTAACCTTGTTGCTGCATCTTTTTCTTGCCGTGGTTATACAGAATTTAGAAAAAGTTTCATATAGATTAGGTTATTTGTCTCGCTTTCCTTCACCACAAACAGTGGCCACACATAGGGAGAGCACTACGCAAGATAAAGAGAAGTCACTTTTGTCTAATGCAACTCTTTGCATGGCTTCCGATGTCATCCCAGGAGAAGAAATGCCGTTTGGTGGAAAAAGCTAGCATGAAAAAATGTGTCCCTGATATCGGATCAGCTTTGAAGCAGCTTTCACCTTTTCTCTGCGGTAAGGACATTTGGAGTTGTTCACTGTGCTAATTTGGAATCAGCTTTGAGGCCGCTCTCTCCCGCTTACTTCCATCTGAAAATGGCTTCTCCATGCTGTTGATTTGGAATGAGCTTTTAGCCACAGTCTGCCATTTGAAAATGAGACGTCCATAATGCTGATCCTTAATCAGCTTTGAAGCAACTCTCTCACACAGTTTACTGTTTGGTAATGAAGAGTTCTCCATGGTGCTGATTCGGGATCAGCTTTGACTCAGCTCTCCCTTACAGGCTTCCATGTGGACACAAGGAATTGTCCATGGTGCTAACTTGAAGCACAGGGCCATAAACAGCACCTCACAATGTTTAACCAACTGAGCCTACTACAACACAATCCGACAGTTACAATGTTGCAAGTAGCTGCTCTATGCTGTACATGTAATTATGCCAAGTTGATTTATGTTGTAGTGCTACAAGCAAGAGGTGTTTTAAAACAGCTGTTTTTCCCTAAATATAGAAAACATGAAGTAATTGGGTCATTCTAAAGTGATTGCAACCTACTAGGCTATTGGTTTTAGAACTTGGCAAAAGTAATATTGGAAGTGTGAGCATGGATAGAATCATAAGAGGAGATGGCTGTAATACACAGTAGCAAGTGTGGCAGGGAAACGTCTCTTTATTTGGAGAAATAGATTGCTTCAGTAACCTTTGACTAGTACCTTCCTTTAAAATCATTTCGACATGGGAGATAGAGTATTGTATTGGTGAAATATGCCGGTATTACTACCGTTTCCATCTCTGGACCTCTTACCCACGGTCCCTCACCTCACTCTCTCCCGTCCTCTCCCCCCCTCTCACATAGGCCTGTATTGATCTTCTGCTGGTTGTGTCTAACAGTACTATATCCACAGATATTTATGTTTGTAGGTGCTGGTCTCCGGTTCCCATTATGGGCTTGAGCGATAGACACGGGCAGTGTTTCAACACCTCGCTGCTGAGGAAAAATGTAATATTCAGGAGGCATGTCCTTAGTCAGCACTTCCATCCCAGGAGCTGTAAAATGACCAGGGACAGCAAGAAGCATATTGCAAAGGTTGGGCTACAATGAAAAAGATGATTACAAGACAAAACCTTTTGCTTAAATATGTACAATCAAATTGATTTAATTCTGTCCTTACATAATTCCAATAAAAGTGACAATTGACTTTCAAACAAACTAAGTGTTTCAGCGATGGCTCAATGTTGACAGACTCGTCAGAGGTCAGACAGGATTAATGTGAACACCTAATGGAAAGGAATGTAACTCTGAAGGGAAATGTAGCACTGTGGGAAATGACATTAGGTTAAATACCAGTTATCAGTAACGGTTCTGAAAAGAACGTAGACATCAACATTTAAATGTCATCAAACCACCTTGAGGCAGAAGTCCATACTGAAATCACTGATGCCTAAAGTCCTTGCCTATTCCAGACAGTTTCAACACTTTGAATTGTTGATTTATAACCAGCCGGTCTTGACGTTCTTACTTGGGATTAAGAGGAGACAATACTTTTAAAACCTGTTTCTTTCCCACCTTCGCTCGCATTCCCTGACTCCCCTGACTTCTCTCTCTCTCTGTCTCTCTCTCTCTGTGTTCTCCTTCCTCTGTTCAGCACCTCTCTGTGAACAGCCAATATACTAGGCTTTTAAAATCCTTGTTGGTATGTCAGCTTCCTGACCTTCGTAACCTTCCTGACTGAGCCTCTGAGAGACTCATGCAGCTTGTTGTGATGCCGGGTAATCTCTCTTTGTGTCAGTCTCTCTCCCTCCGTCACATTCTTGTCTCTCGCCCCTCACTGCATATTTCTCCGACACGTGCACTCATTTGCAGGTGATCCACTTCGAGGAAGCAGGCAAACTTGTCATTTTCACCTTGTCTAATTCCCCAAAGAAAACACATCTGCATACCACCTCTGGACTTTATCGCAGTCTATTATGCTCAAAGCATTTCTTCAATTCCTCGTACTGTACCTGTGTCTTTTTGTCTGTAACTTCCTAATGTCAAAATAAGTTTCATGCACTTGTATTTCTATTACCTGTGTCTTTTTTTAAGGCATAGCACCTTGAGCTGCCTCCGAATGTGAATCGTAAACTTGCCTCGCCTTGTCTTGCCTCAGAAAAAAAAGGGTACTCTAACTTATTAATTTATTGTAATGATGAAAACCAATGACTACATGTATTTACATACAAATCTGCACAGAAAATAACAATCAACACTTTTCTAGAGACTGGAGTAAAGTCATGGCGACGAGGAGTGCAAGTGGAAAAACAAATTCGGAAAATCAAGGCAATGACCTGCGGCAATATATGTTTCATGTCTGTTTTTGTTTTCTTTCTGAATAAACAAACAAATCCATACAATCCCTTTTAGTCGGTTTAATGTAATTGTAATGATCATGCCAAAATCACCAAAGTGTAGTTCAAGTTGAAGCCACAGATCTATTTAGAGGATACGATCTGCCAAAGAAGCTATAGCTCAAAACCAAATGCTTCTCTGTTACTTATTATTTTCCATTGGTGGCTTTGATGATCGCCTTACTCTCTCTCTCTCTCTCTCTCTCTCTCTCTCTCTCTCTCTCTCTCTCACACATCCCCTCTCTCTCTCTCTCTCTCCCCTCCACCTCTTCATTTGTAAATTCCTCCCATCACCACCAGGGGCTTTCCACACCACGCCGTTCCGAGAGCGGCTTGGACCCGTCCATCTCCCTGCGCTACTCGGCACGGAGACTAGACGCGCAGCGCGGTGGTAGACGAGGGCGCACAGAGTGTCTATCTCTCTGATCTTATTTTTTATCACACAGAGGATCGTACACCTTTCATTCCAGGAGGAAGCGGCAAGTTGAGTGACCGTCACCGCATCCCACTGCAACTTGTCAAGGCACAAGGTATTTGTTTCCGCCGCACGATTGCAAAGGTTGGACTTTGGTGGGGTGTTTTTTTTTAATTTAATAGGAAAGTTGACGGTGCCGGGGTTTGGTCTTGTAACATACAACTCCGCCGGACTTGCAGAAAGCCTTTCGCTATTGCACTGTAGTAGTTTATTTGTGCACCATAATAGAGGGGAAATTGGTGATTTTGGTGCTTTTCTGTGCGTGCGCGTATGTGTCTGAAGAGGTGCCTCTTTGCATTTCATTGAACCTTTTTCATCTTTACTTAAAGACTGCACACCACCGCCTAACTTGTTGCCACTTGTAACATAATTAACGGAGTGGGATAAGTGTAGTCGGTAATGAGCGCTGCGCGCACGAGACCGGTCGTGATCCCTGATCATATTAAATGGTTTAGACAGTAAACGGGCTAATACAGATTTTCAGGTTACGGCAAAGTAGGAAATGGTTTCCGACGGCTTACACAAGCTGGGAAATGTCTGCACTGATAATTACGTAGCGGGCATGTATTGTACAGCAACATTTCAGTGAAATCTCCACTGTAAGATTGGGCAGCAGCAGTTGTGTGCGCAAGCATTTCATGTGGCATCGCTTTGAAGAATGTGAACACTCCTGTCTTAAGAATTTTCAGCCATAATCAAGAGCATAAAATGTGTGTAAATATGTAGGCCGGTCGAATCATCGCAACAATACTGCATACTTTCATAAATGAATTTATAGGGGAGTAGAATGACTGCACGCACGCACTTCCCGCACTGTGGGATGCGTTTCCGAGGACTGCGGCCACTTGATGCGCCAACAGGATGCACTATATAGCCAGGCTGTTGAAAGGCTGAATGCAGACTTATAAGTATATCATCTAAACATTTTTTAAATTTTTTTTATCAGGAAATACATTGAATTCGTGCTTATCCGGCTTTGCGATAATCCTTCACAGAGTTGTTGTGGATTAAAAAGTTAAAGTCTCGTTACAGAGAATAAGGATTACAAATAATAATGGTCACACGTTTCTTTTCTTTTTTTGAAATAATTTGTATCACTGCTGTGCAAATATTCATGTCACCATCATTGACGTTAGGTCATTCATATTTTGTATTTTAAACATTTTTATTGTTCACTTCGATCTAATGGATATCCAAAAATCTATTTAGCATCAACACCTATTCATATCCTGTTTGTTTGAGGCATTTTGCTGGACATGATCCAAATTGTGTGCCACATGCTTTTCTATTAGTGTCATTGAATTATGCTTCTCTCCTTCTCACTCCACAACCTTTCATTGTGATTTGTTGCCTTCAATTTATTTCAGACCAACTGCCCAGATTATTTGTAGACATGACATTTAAATTTACTTCAATATCGTTTGTTTAACTCATAAGACAGTCACTGGTGGGGCAGACGGATGGTAGTTCATCAAATAAAAAGCTTCATTGTGCTGTAATTTAGCTTCCTGTAATCTCAAAGATGCTGTACTGCCATACATTCATCAACTACACATTGATCAAATTCATTCCATCCCAACTTAATATTTGTTTTGTAGCGAGGCAGACACCTCATCTCCGTGGTATCGGAATGAAATAGAATCTATTCCCAACAGTATGGACTTGTATGTATGCGCTCAATATCTCAAAATAAGATCTGTGACCGTGGGGTCACAGTACACAGCTACTGAGTGACCTTGGCTGTGGTTAGAAATGCTCAAGTTTCCTCTGCGTTCCGGTATTGCACACGTATGTGTGGGTGTAAGTGTGTGTACGTGGGGAGCTGTGTGTTTGTGAAACCGCCTGCATGCCTCAGTTTATAACTTATCACGAGCTAATTGGTGTTTGGGAAAGTGAGAGGAATGCCCTTTGTCCCAGTAACCAATGAATTACTTTACGTTTCCAATTAGATTCTGGTCTGTACAGGAACCTTTCAGAGAGGCCGCACCTCTGGGTGAGGACCCTGACCTTCACTGACCCTGTGTTTGGAGAATTGATTTTTGCAGGTTACAATTGAGGATGAAAATTGGTTGGTGTAGAGATCAGCAAAACCTCAGGTCCATTAAAGGCAGATTTTGCTTTCCATTAATCAGGGTGTTTTCTAGATTTCTGCCATGCTAAGAAGAAAAAGAAATGTCTGCACCATTGTGTAAATGCCTCAAAGTGTGGTGATTGAGGTCTGTTACTGTAATTTCTTATTTATTTACTAAACCCATCTTAACTGGTGTCACAGTAGGCACTGTCAACATTTTTAAAGATAAGATCAGCTAGTTGGCAGATACGTTCAGACATACATATGTGCACACACAGAAAACACACATCTCCTAACTGGTAGGTGGTACTGAATATGAAATATAATATATTCTCTGCAAGGAAACAAAATACAGGTATATGTTTGCCGCCTTACTGTCCATTACAGCCACGTATCTGCTTCGTATCCTAGACTCATTTATTCAGCCGGTGGTCTAACCAGGGTGTACATTACAAGGGCCATGTAGCAGTAACCCAGATGGCAGAATGAGCTGATTGTGATTTATGTACCAAAAGTGAATGCATTACTGTGAGCTTCTGGAGGCAGTGCCAATTCCAGGCAGGCATTTTCACACATTTTCAACAAACACGCACACACACACACACACACACACACACAAACACAGACACACACACAGAGACACAAAAATCGTAGATACACAAAAATAGAAGCTCACTACAAAACTTTGTTAATACTGATGTGTGTCCATACAGTAACAGTTCTCTCTCTCTCTCTCTCTCTCTCTCTCTCTCTCTCTCTCTCTCTCT